AGAGTGCTGCATTCAAGCAAGGACATGCCGCCAACTTGAAAGAAAATAAAGGCCACACTTTGTCTATAGGGGGATCCTGCAGTTATTCCCCTGCAAATTTAATTCAAACAGGTATCGAGATCTGAAACATGGAGATATCCACAAATCAGAGGATACTTGGTTTTTAAAAAGGAAAGAAAAGAAATCCAGGCCACAGAGAACCATCTCAAAGCAGCAACACGGTTCTTTTGATGTTAATCACTGTATTGCTATTAACATGTTTTCAAGGTCTATACTGTGAAGGAAATTTCTTGAGATGCTCACTTGAAATGTGCGTATTATAAATTTTAAAATTATTGTTTCAAGTGCCAATTTTGCCTTTTTTAAAAAAAATGTGTATAAAATGTGTGAATCAATGCTATTCTAATACTTTGCTTTTATAATTATTACACAAATACTCTATTCAACTAGGGTATCAGTGATACCTGAAGAAAATGCAGTGTTCTTTCAATTTTATCCTTCAAAATTATACTTCTTTACAATCTTAAAATAAGAATTTATTTAAAGAAATTTCTACTGGAAAAAGGTTTTCAAGCAACTTAGGAATCTGCTTGACTCATACAACTGATAATGATTTGTGGCATATTTATTTTGTGTTCATTTGCATATGTACATAAGTACATATGAAGTATAAAGATTATCCTTGAGTTTACCTGTTACATTATATGAGGAAGACGTCTGTGAGAAATCTTTATTTGGCCTGTTGTTCAGGTCAAAACCAATCCATAAACAAAAATCTCCAAAGGAAGTGTTAAACTTGTAACTTGACTCTGTAATGGCACAGAGGCACTTGGCATCACAGATCATGATAAAACTTAGGAAAATTAGTCTATGACTGTGTTTTAATTGCCAGGTTCTGAGTAAGCTGCTTTGTCACTATAATTCTATGGTTTAATGTATCTAGTACAGGAAGGTGTGAAAGAAGTGAATAAAAACATTTATGCCCCACAATTTATGGGTATTCTGAGCCATGATTGAAGCTCAAATACCATTTTGTTTTGATTTTTAAGACTATTGGCATCTACCAGCAGCTCAAGTTATAGAGATATCTTGGTAGTCATCAAAGTCAACTTTATCTTTTTTGGCACTTCCCGTGTAAGAACTCATTTCCAATGTAAAGGTTTTTTTTGTTTTTTAAATCTTTGAATTTAAAGTAGTATTACAATTTAGACTTTTATAGGTTAATCTTGCAAGATGTTGAGATCAGAGTATTTTGTGAAGTGTTCAATGACAATATTACTAGTGTCCACATCTAGACTTATGGAACGACCACATTTTGTTTCTAATCTCTTAGACACCAGTTACATAGACTATTATCATCAGAAATGCATCAAGGGTATTCACTGTCAAAACACTGGCTTTCAATTTTTTGGGTGGGCTGTATATAAAATATGGCCTTTTGTAAATAGATGGATTAGAAAACAATAAAAACAAAAGCAGTTGAGCTGAGCACACACACACACACGCACACACACACACACCACACACAATATGATGCCTTTAAAAATTGTATCAAGGTTGAAACATAACAAGGAAAGTGATTGAAGCCACCCAAGTCTTGAAATGGGCTGTGATTGAGTGAATTTTCTTAATTACTCACCAACTTTTTAATGTGGTCTCCTTTCCTAGTTAAATGCTGGACTTTAGGAAAAATACAACTGTAACAGAATGCTTCAGTAGTCGCAGTGGAGACAAAAGAAGCAGTACTATAAACTCAGGCTGACAAGTGACTGACTACTGCAGGACAAGCTGAAAAATCCAGTTGTGCTTTTGCACAACACTGACTGGCTCTGAGACGAAATATGACTCTTTATCCCCACAAAATTAAAGTGAAAAAATTTAAGAGCTTCAAAGGCTTTCATACTAAATATACATTTACTCCAAGATCTAAATCAAGTACACTGTGAGGGAGAAAATTTACTTCAATAGATAGCTGGTCATAAATATATATATATTTAATTTGCTCATATATATGTGTGTGTATATATACGTATACACAAAATGATCTGAAAATGTTTCACCATGGAAAACAGCATGCTAATGGGATAATATCCCTGATGGCTTTATGGTTTTCCAGGCAAGTCCTATTTTACCATCAATATTGAAAGAAATAAAACCCAAGCAAACAAACAACAACAACAAAAAAAGAAACTGACTGGTTTTCTGTATGCCACGTAATTGTTATAATTGTTTTAAAAACTCAAAGCCTGATGGTGACTTAAAATGTCTTGTGAAACTCTAAATCCGGCATACAAAACCTTTCTGAATCAAATTTGCAGTTGTATCATATCGTTTTGGACAGCTACAATAAGAATGCTTTAAGATTTATTCCTTGGATGGAGACCAGCAGTCTTTTTTTTTTTTCCCCTCAGAAATTACCTAACTTAACTATCTAGTAAGGAGACAAATTTTAATTTGGGCAAAGAATTACTGGTTTTTTTGTGTGTGAGTTTATACAAGAAAATCTTCTCAGGTATCTACTATAGTACATTAATGTAACAAAAAAGAATAAAATTGTATCTTGCTACTTAAAGTTGAATACTGTATTTTTGATGAGTTAATTTTTCTATTTGTCTTAAAATGAATAATGATAATTTATGAGACAATTAGTTGCCTTACAACCATGAAAATAACTCTGTTGTATTGATGATCTTCATTTTAGCCCTTTGTCATTTTAGCAAAAAATATTTTTCTAGGAAAATTTAATAGATATTTTTTCTTAAAGGTATTTGAAGTTTTCCAGCTGAGATTTTCTATTTTTCATAATAGTAGTTCCATAGTATGAAATGTACAAGTAAATTGTATATTTCTATTTTAAAAAGTAACCTGTGTATAGTTTTATATATAAATATATACACTTACATATACATGCATACACATATATAAATTCTGGGCAAGAGTAATCCAAGTAGAAAATTCCTCTGGAGAAGATTCCTTGAACAATATAAAAATGGAGTCTTCAGAAGAAAACAAAACAGACTTATAAACCCAACTGCTATGCTACAATGCTTATGAATGCACAGTAGGTAATCATTTATTGATCACCTATTTATGATTTGGGAATATCCAAGATTATGGAGGAGAAGAGACAGTTACTCACAAAAATCATGGCAAAGCTAATGATTTAAAAATAAGCTTCCATATTATGTCATGTAAATTTACCTCTTTAAAAAGCCTTAATATTAAAATTAGTTACCTTTTGATAATTGTCTTTGAATAAAGAAGTAATTTGTAAACTTCTATTTTCTACCGTCATAAGAACATAATCTTTCCTTGAGAATTCACAAATGTCAATCACAGCAATGAAATAGTGTTATTCTTTGGAAGGACTGGTCTGAAGATTTAAAGATAGACTTCATTGAATTCCTAAATTTTCATATTGTGGGATTGGCTAGTAGACACTATAAAATGTAAAGGCAGTTCAGACAGTTCAAGCTGTAATATTTTCAGGCACAAAAACAATATAATTTTGTACAAAACTGATTTTTTATTTGCGAAATTAAAAATATGGTATTTTATATATATATAAACTTCTATTCCTCTATAAATATAAATGATTTTGTGATAGTGAACAGAATAAATGCATACCAAATTCAAAGACCAACGTCATTTTAGGGTATGATAGATATAGATAAATTTAGGTCCTAAGTACTGGCAATTTGATAAACTCTTAAAGTTTAAAACTATACAGTCAGGAAGATTACTTTTCTCCTCTTCTTCAAATGGCTTTGAGAGATTTACATTGGAGACATTTACGTAAATTTAAAAAGGAGCACACAGGATTGAATACAGTAGGCCTGCACGCATTTTCCCTTTAGCATGTGAATTTCCATGTTTTGTTTCTTTCAGGATCTGACCCATCAATTATCCAACCTCCTTTGCCTGCTGAACTCCTACCAGATTATTATTACTGGTACAGACTGTTCCCCTCAGGATGTGTTGCTGAATAATAATCTTAATAATATGCTGAACGTGTACAACTTTTACATTTTAAACTTTCTGATATATGTCTAATTGTTTGATTAAAATAAGAAAATAGCACTTCATTTTGAGGAAGTCCATTACACTGACATCTCCACGTCCATTTCTGCTCTGCTGTCCTGTCAAGGAAAGCAAAGATCAACTCTTTCACATAGCTTTTCAGGTGGCCTCAAAATTTCCATTTTACAGAAGGGTAAAATCTAAACACAGGCTGTCTCACTCTTAAAGGCAGGTTGCCAGGCATCCGTATACAATTAGAATTACCATGTATAACCCCCTTCCTCACTCTCTCCCAACCCACACAAAGCTTCATGCTCTTCCCACATCTCAGTAACCACATCTTTCCATGACGCTGGCCAAACCCATACCAGGTTTTAGACACTACAGAATGAAATGAGCTCATCCATCAAAAAATAGACTTAAAAAAGTTTGGCATTGGTTACCCCACTCATCCTCTATCCAATTTAGGTGAAAGGAGAGTGTCTGGGCGTTGGACAGGAGTGTGGAGGGGGGCAGGAACTGCCAGTGCCCACACTCATGGGCCCCCATGAAATTGGGTGAAGATTATCAAAATTTCAGCTTCGGGAAGTCAAAGGGTTAGACCTTCACCATCTGCCGCTGAACAAGGGAGGAACAGGAATGTGCAGGGGTCCACCTCTGCATTTGGAAGCTGTGTGGACTTCTGTACCTTGAGTCCCCACCCCAAGCAAGGACGGGAAGGGAGGGGCAGAAGGAGGAGAGGGGAAGTGACCCAGGCCTGCAGCCCCTACCGCACCCCACAATGCTGGACTGGAGCTGGGTCCTGCAGGCCAGTGCAGGGAGGGGCGCGCCAGGATGAGCAGAGCACTAAACGGGTGTGCTCGGGTTTTACTCCCTCTGCGATGCTTGGAAAAGGGCAAAAGAGAAAAGCTTCAAATGGTTAAACCGCCCTAAATAATTAAAATTTAAAAAAAGAAAAGAAAAACGCGTGATCGGCAGTCTTTAAATACAAATATACTTACAAAATCTTACACAGGCTATTTACAATCATAAAAGCCTACAGTCCTGGTACCAGAGTTCGAGGGCAAGAAAGGTCGGCCCACACTCCTCTGGCAGTCGGGCCCTCGTGTCCATTTTCCCCAGGGACGGAAGCTTTTGCAGGAGCCCTGCTGTCGAAAGGAGCCTGAGAAAGTGGCTCCGGGAGGAAGCCTTGGGCAGCAGGGCTTGGCGGGGATTCTCGGGGCTGGTTTTTGGGGGATGGCTGGAACCAGCCCCCTGAAGGCTGGGAATGGGTTGAGTCCCTCTAGGGTTTCAGACGGTGGTCTCCCCCTGTTTGCTGTTGGTGAGCCTCGTGTAGAACTTCCTCCAGGAGTTGAGTGTCTTGCCAGACCAGATCCAGAAGCCCGACGTGATGCCCACGATCAGCGTCATAAGGTACTTGATCATGAAGACTGTGAAGTCAGGGCTCATAGGCGGATGAGGTGGGGCGCCCGCACCTCCCTGGAGGTGAGGACAAGGGATGGCATAGCTCTTGCAGCTCTGGGCCACCCAGCTGCGCTCCCACTGGTCCCGGAAGGCCTGCTCATAGAAGTAGCAGGCGATGACGATAGTGGCCGGCACCGTGTAGAGCACGCTGAAGACACCGATGCGCACCATGAGCTTCTCCAGCTTCTCGGTCTTGGTGCCATCGTGCTTCATGATGGTGCGGATGCGGAAGAGGGATACGAAACCCGCCAGCAGGAAAGACGTGCCGATGAACAGGTACACAAAGAGGGGTGCCAGCACGAAGCCACGCAGCGCGTCCACGTTGTTGAGCCCCACAAAGCACACTCCGCTCAGCACGTCTCCGTCCACCTGGCCCAGCGCCAGGATGGTGATGGTTTTGATGGCTGGCACGGCCCACGCGGCCAGGTGAAAATACTGTGAATTGGCCTCGATGGCCTCGTGGCCCCACTTCATGCCGGCCGCCAGGAACCAGGTGAGGGACAGGATCACCCACCAGATGGAGCTGGCCATGCTGAAGAAGTAGAGCATCATGAACAGGATGGTGCAGCCCTCCTTCTTGGTGCCCTGCGCCACCGTGCGCGCCCCGTCCTCGGAGAACTTGTCGTTACACACCACCCGGTCCTCCAGCAGGAAGCCTGCAATGTAGGCCACGGCCACTGCAGTGTAACAGCCCGACAGAAAGATGATGGGCCGTTCCGGGTAGCTGAAGCGCCGCATGTCCACCAGATATGTGAGCACTGTGAAGAGCGTGGAGGCGCAGCACAGCACCGACCAGATGCCGATCCAGGTGCGCGAGAAGCGCAGTTCCTCGGGCCCGAAGTACATAAGCCCGTACACTTTGGTGGGCTCACAGGGCGCGCCGCAGTCCTTCTCCCCCAGAAAGTGGTAGTTGAGGTAGGAGGGCACCTTGAGGGCGCGCGGGCAGGAGAACTTGCCCCGCTCGGAAGAGCCGGCGCCTCCAGGGTAGCCGCCGCGGTGACTTCCGCCGCCGTGCTGGGGGTTGCTGGTCCAGAACTCTGGCAGCAGCGAGGGCGTCGGGGTGCCTTTATCTGAAGTGTTCTGGCCCACGCACAGCTCTCCCGCGCCGTGCACCGGAAACTTCTCGCACTTGAGCGTGTCTGGCCACTGGAAGCCGAACTTGTTCATGAGCGCCTCGCAGCCCTGGCGCGCGCGCTCGCACAGGGAGCGGCAGGGCGGCAGCGCTTGCTCCAGCACGGTGCACACGGGCGCATACATGGAACACAGGAAGAACTTGAGCTCGGCCGAACACTGCACCTTCACTAGCGGGTAGAACTGGTGTACCTCGAGGCCCGCGTCCTCCTGATTCGTGTGGCCCAGCAGGTTGGGCATGATGGTCTGGTTGTACGCGATGTCCGTGCACAGAGGGATGGAGATGGGCTGGCAGTAGCCGTGATCCGGAATGGAGATACCCCGCTCGCCGTTGTACTGCTGCCCGCTCTGCTGCTGCTGAGGTGGCGGTGGCGGTGGCGGGGGTTGCTGCCCCGGCCCGGGCCCCTGGCCTGCCGCCTGCGCGCGGACCCCCAGCAGCAACGGAGCCTCCAGCAGCCAAAGCAGAAGCAGCAGCCGGCGCGCCGAGCGCCCGAGGTCAGCTGGGCGGCGGCGGCGGCGTTGGTGGCTCTCCGCGTCCCTGCTCCCCTCCTCCGCCCGCCGGGCCGGGAGCGCCCCGGAACAAAGTTCCGAGCTTGAGCCGCCGCCAGCGGCCCGGGACTTCTTAGGCGCCTCCTCCTCAGCCATACTTTCTCGGCTCCTTTCTTGGAGCTACTCGGGTGGAGGTGGCAGTGGCGCGGCAGACGGCGGCTTTCCCCGCGTCCAGGGAGATCTGGTCCCCTCCGGTGGCGCCCGTCGAGCCCCAGCCGCTCTCGGCCCGCTGCCCCGGCTTCTGCTCTGCGTCCTGCAGCCGCCGCCGCCGCCGCCGCGGAAACTTGCGGTTCATGAAGCGCGGGCGGCGGGGAGAGCCCGGGTGGCTCGGGCGCGCCGGGGTCGCGTCCCGCCTTCCTGGCCCTTGGCTCGCTGGCTCCTGGCTGGCGGCGCCGTGCTAGTGGCCGCGGCCGGGTAGAGCGCGCAACTCTCCGCAGCCCAGCGGCCTCGGCTCCCCCCTGCGCCTCCGCCTCCTTCTCCGCCGCCGCCGCCTGACCATTTGTGTCAATCCCTCAACTTGCTCGCTCTCCTCTCCCTCGCGCGCCCTCGGACCGGTTTCCAGGCGCCCCGCAGTCTGCCTTTCACCAAGAGGGAGGAGCCTTGAAACCGACGCGAAACTGGAGGCTCAGGGACCGTCGCCCAATCGCGGCACTGGCTTCCCGGCGCACAGGGAGCCCGCTGCCTCCTTGCCTGTGCAAAAGCCGGCCGCAGGCGGGAGGAGGAGGAGGAGGAGGCAGGAGGTGGAGGAAGTGGTGATGGTGGCAGAGGCACCGCTCAGGCACAAAGAGTGGGTTTGCTATGAAGCGGGACAGGCTCGGTTGCTTTTGCTTTTGCGGAAGAAAGGGCGAAGACAAGTAGGAGAATGGTCCCATATGCTGTTTTAGATAATGAATAGGAGTCCGCGGACCGCAGGATTTAGCTTTTTCTTTTCTTTTCATCCATTTTCATGTTTTAAAAAAACATTATTGCTCTTAACGCCTGTTACAAACTGCCTAACCGAGCGCTGCGATCAGAACACATGCCTCTGACTTAAGGAGAACACGGTTTCCTTTGAGTTTGAATCTGTCGAGGTTCTGTTTAAAATATTAGTCCAAAAAATTGTAGGCTCACAGGCTGGGCTTGGCGGGCTTTGGACACGCCATTTCCCCAGCGGAGAAGTTCACCGGATCGCTGTCAAACGGAGAAAAACAACAACAAACACAAACTCTGATGGAATTTAGAAAGTAAAGCCAGATGCGGCTTCTGCTACTATCGTGTAGTCAGTCTTCCCCCACCCCCACCCTCCTTCTTTAATCAAGTCAGAAACACAGGCAAAGAAAAATTATCCATTACATTTTGGAGAGAAAAACTTGAGAACCCAAAGACCAGGGCGGTGGGGGGCTCCTGGTGAGACCAGAGGGTAATGGGGGAGGAGGGGGCGCTCTCGGGCTCTTAGGGAGCCCGGAGGAGCCTTCTGAGGAGCCTTCTAAAGCCTGGGAACGTCCTCTTCTCTGAGGGGAACTCCCGGACCTGGCCCATTTAGGTTCCACAAGCTGAGTTGCCCCATGATCTTCCGTGGTACTCAGAGGTGAAGATGCCAGTTTACAAAAACAAAACAAGCACAAAAACGGAGTCTGAAAACAAAAACCAACCTACACATTCCCTTCCAACTTCCAAAACAGTACTATCCATTTCAGGAGCTGCATCTTGGAGCTCTGTCTAGAAGGCAGGGTGCGAAGTCCATGAAGGACACATGGACTAGGCTTCCAGGAGGACATAGTAGAGTGGGCACAGAAATATAAATCAGTGATCACAAGGTCCACCCCAAGGCTGAAAAGGCACAAACAATTAGGTCAGGTTGGGGGAGGGAGAGGGGTTTTGAGAGGATGTACATGGAAGGTGCTAAAGAATTGTGAAGGAGCAGGACAGGTGAGTGTGCGTGGGGAATGATGGAGGTGGCAGGAGAAAAGATTTTGGTCCATACTAAAAAAATCTGAGCCAAATTATGCAGAGGATAGATTGAAGGTCACTTTCCTCTACAGAAGCCGGGATTGGCTCCTGGATGACTATGAAAGGGGGCAAGTTGAGAGGTAGGGTGGGCTGACACTGAGAAGTATCAACATTCATCAGCACATGAAGGTCATTCCTTAAGATGTGATTGCTTGTCCACATACTAAGGGACACTGGGAATTTCATCATCATGCATATTTGCCTGTCTAAATAATGCGCAAAACGTTAAAGTAAAATGACATCTATTTTGTCTCAGATGCACATATGATTTTTCAAATATAGAGGCAGCAAATTAAAAAAATACAGTTTTGCATTGCTTTAAAGTTTGTCTTTCTTTTTCTTTTTGGGGACAGGGTATTGATATGTTGCCCAGCCTGACATCAGACTTCTCAAGATCCTCCTCCCTCAATCTCTCAAGTAGCTGGGATTACAGGTGCATGCCACCATGTCTGGGTTGTTTTAAAGTATTTCTGATTCCTAATTGTTTTTTTTTTTCCAAAGAAACAGGGACACGTGCACAATAGGACAGTAGTTATCATATGCGAGCATGTGTTCTGAGGGGGGCTGTAACTGGTGATATGTATTAATATTGAAAAGGAGGCCTACTTTCTGAGACCTTTTGAGCTGTCACATTCAATAACCGGTCATTTTAACCAGCAAGCAAGGGGGGAGGGGAGAAAGGAGAGGGTGACCAGTTTGTGTGAATATGAGCAAAGTATTTATATATAATGTATTATATATAAATAATACTACATGTATCTGAAACAAATAGATGTCATTTTGCTTTAATATTTTACACATTACTTAGACAAATATGCATGATTATGAATTAGATCACAGTACTGTATGTGTATGTATGCAAATATCACAATGAAACCCCTTTGTACAATTAATTTATGCTAATATAAATATGTACATATATTAGCATAATATATCAGCATAAATGATATATATGTATATCATTGCAAAACACACACACGCACACAAAACCTGCTCATTTTACTGCAGTATCCAAGTGCAGAGGCTCCCGGGGAATCTTTGTCTCTAGCCTCCTACTCTGATCATGCCTCAGTTGATAGTATCCCATGCTAGAGACCTTGCCAAGCCATCTCTCTTATGTCACTCTGGTCTTATACTTATCTCTCTTGTGTTCCACTCTCTCAAGATCATGCTACGTGACTGGGCTGGAGGAAAAGTGAATTTATTCTAAGGTAGAAGCCTCACATGGTTAAGCTTCTACCACCTCTGTCACTCTAAATCCTCCCCCTTTTTCCCCAAACTGGTAGGGCAGAGTACAGGGTCCTCCTTTTCAGAGTAGGTGACACTTTTTTGCTTCAAAAATTGTTCCAATGAGCTGGTCGTGGTGGCTAATCAACGAGGCGAAGAGGATGAGGCCGGCCTGGGCTACACTTTTCTAGAGCAAATACAGCAATGTGGTTGGACTTGCGTCAATGATAAGGGGAGAGCACATACAGGAGGTATGGGGATAAGTAAGAAACACAAAACATGATAGTATTTGATGACCTCACTGCAGAGGAACTAATACAGAAACTTTTAAAGCGACAGAGGTCAATATGAGAAGGGGATCAGGAACTAGATAAAAGGTCAGTGAGAGAAAAAAAAATTGGTCTAATGAATTCCTGAACTTTTTTTTTTACATCTTTATTAGCATACATTAATTGTACATGGGGGTTTCATTGTTACTTTTTCATATGTGCTTACAATGTGTCTTAACTAGATTCGCCCCTCCATTATTCTCTCTCACTCCTCTCCCCTCTCCTTAGAACAATTTCAATAAGTTTCATTGTTCTATTTTTATACGTGTATACAATGGACATTGACCATACCACCCCCTTCACTCCCCTCCCCCTGATATCCACCTCTGAACAGGACCTATTTTACCTTTCTGTCCTTTGCTTTTTAAAGTGTATATTGATTGTTCAAGGGAATTTCACCTTGGTATTACAGACATGTATATATTGTACTGTAATCAGATTAACCCCCTCTTTTACTTACTCTCTCTATCATCTTGCTCCCCTATTATTCAACAGCTTTGAGTACATTTTGTTATACCATTTTCATATAGAGACACAATACATTTTTATTTTATTCACTCTCTGTCATTCTTTTTCTGTCCTACCTCCCCTTAATCCCCTCAGACAGACCCACTATTACAATCATGACTCTCACTTTCTCTCTCTCTATGTATGTGTGTATGTATTTATAAATGTGTGTATGTGTGTGTGTATATATATATATATATAGAGAGAGAGAGAGAGAGAGAGAGAATGGATTAAGAAAATATGGTATATATACAAAATGGAGTATTATTCAGCCATAGAGAGGAATGAAATTAGGTTGTTTGCAGGTAAATGGATGGAACTGGAGATCATCATGTTAAATGAAGTAAGCAAGGATCAGAAAGTCAAAACTCACATGTTTTCCTTCATATGTGGAAGCTAGACCTAAAAGATAAATGTGTACACAAATACATATACAATCTGAATTTGTTTCGTCTTCTATTAAGTGCTCAATAGTGAAGTTTATGAGGGAAGAATCTCAGAAGTGCAGCCAGTGTTTGTTTTTTTTTTAAACAGGAAGGAAAATGTCATTCTGATCTGATCATGGGACTGAAAAGGACCAAAGATATTATCTAGGAACTGGATTTTACAGTTTATAATTGAGAGCAGTAGGCCCAGAACACATTAAGGGATGTGCCTCAGGTTAAATGGCCTTGTTTGGCCATTAGATGCTTATTTTAACCTCTATATTTTACTGAATAACTATAGTTCTTTCTATTGCTTTTAAAGTTAGTTTTCTATAGTTCCCCCTTGATAGACTGAACAAAGATACCCTGTAAAATCTAAAAATATATAATTTTCTGAGTTCCCTTTCATTGTTAAAAATAATCAAACTCAATTTCCTATTTGTTATACCAATAGAACATTTTATTTATTGAGCCAGTGTGATGCAGAAGAAACTATTAAAGTAAAAAACAATTCAGAGTTGCAACCAATAACAACCCATGTTATGGTAGGAAGTGTTTTGGGGAGGTGATGAAAGCAGTAGGGAGCATAGTAAAAGAGAAATATGAGCAGCACATTTTAATCTTAGCTTAAAACATATTATGTCTTAGGATGTGGAATGGTTTGAGATACACAGACAAAAAATTGCTAAATAACTATGAATGTGGAAATAAAAACACTTCAATCCATTCAAAATAACCTGATAAATGTAACTGCATTCCTTTTTGATACTGGGGTGTCAAGCATCAGACTCAGTCACATTTTCTTACATCAAAGATCTCATTTTATAAGGCCTTTCTTGAATATTCTAAAGTTTCTCATCCACTAGTTGAATGTGGATGACTATGAGGATGAAGATCCAGTTCCAGTTTGATACACTTGGATGTATGGACACAATAAGCACCTAGGAGAATGCTCCAAGTGCAACCTGACCACCTGCTTTCCAACCTGAGCTGTTGCTGGCTTGTGGGTGACATGCTTAAATTGTCTTTGTTGACTATCAGAAATTATAACA